TTGCTCTTAAAAAATGTGTAGCTAAATGATGGTTTGATTTGGCCCCGTCCTCTAACTCTTTTAACAACAGAAACTATGTGCTAGTCAAATTTGGTGTCAAAAACACGCCATGGAGCTTGCAACAAAATATATACAAAGCAGGCCATGTAGATGATTGGCCTACATGCTTATAGCGACTGATTTAATTAACAACTTTCTCGACTTGGTAGATGATTGAGCTATGAGTCTCTAATCGAACTTTGAACCCCTGACTTGTATTGAGAATGGATGATCAGATGAAAATCTGCAAAATAAAAACATCATCCCCATCAAAATTATACTTGGCATGCCTATAGAAAAAATAAATCTACTTGCAACTAAGAGGTGCTTTGAAGATATGAATAAATTAATGTTTTTATCTCTTAACGTTTTTAACTTTAATGATTTCAAAAAGGAAGGAGCTTTAGCAATTTAACAATATATGAGTTGCTTGCTTAACACATTAAATATTTATCAAACTAGTTCTTGGGATGTGCGATGAATGTAGTGTATTGTAATAGAGTACTTAATAGATGGAATTACCAAATTCTTGTTGTAGTCTGCCATATTTTGCTCATGGGTCTGTAAACGCTCAACCTCCTCTCCGTCCATCCCTTCCCTCAAAATAAGTTTGTATACCAAAAAGGAAAACTAAGACATGTTTCCCCTCTCTTTTTGCCCGAGTTAATGGAAGGGAAGAGACGCTTGTTCCCCCACTGAAAAGAAGAACAAACACCTTAACAGCTTTCACAACAACAAAAAAGGAGGAAAATTGTATTATTGATAATTACATTCAATTAATTTTGATAAAATTCACATGAAGCCCCAGTTTTTACACGATAGTTCTTCTTGAAATCCTAATTTTACCAATTCGATTAACTCGCTCTAAATTCAAAATTTTTAAAAAATTTGAAGCCAGAAACACAAATTAATGAAGATTGTTGGTTGGTTCTCACCTTCAATCTAGTTTTTTGTGATAGTGCTTGCTCGTTGTCTTCCTCCTACATTAATTAAAATATAATAATAAGTCAACATAGTTGCCAAGTTTTAAGTACAAAAAAGTTGTATAGCTTAATCCCCACTAACAATCTCCAATGCTCTCATCGTCCTCATCACTATTAACCTTAGACTTTGACTTGTTGGACTCATCTTCAGCACCTCCAACCTATAAAAATAGTTCGGCACAAGCGTTTTGAGTATTACAGTCTAAACTAAACAGTGCATAACTCTATGCTTCTCATAGATGGATAACCAAATTCAGTATTCCATTTTTGCTCATATTCCTCCTTTCATTTATTCTGTCTTATGCCCAAAGGGAGCTTTTTCCTTATTTTCATAACATTAGGAAATTTCTCGAGAAGAAGAATAAAATATAAACAATACATACTGAAATCCACAAAATGTAAAAGACAGAAAAAACTTATTAACTAATCAACCCAAAACTAATGAAAAGAATTTCGGCTTTTATAGAAGGGAACCCCCAAAAATAACATGAAAAACGATTCTTGCCTAGCCAAGACATTTTTCACAGACTAAATAGAATTTTTGACCGTCACAGAAGGGAACCTCCAAAAGGAAATGTTCATTCTGAGAAATAATCAGAAAATATTACTAAAATCGTGAAATAAAAAAGGCAAGAAAAGTTTTACGTCTGAACATAGCTTCAGTCACAGATCCTACCATATAATTTCACTGTGGCATTTACACAAACACATAAATGCACATGCAGAAAGTAAATCGAAAAAGAAACTTACCTAAAGGTCTCATAGAAGAGGCACCTTCATTCCATCTTGCGTTCTTACAAGTAATCAGAAAATGTCTACACCAAAACAACGAATTTTTTATTTGTTTCATTCAAAATTCAAATAATGTAGGAGCTTCCACTCTACAAAAAAGGTTTGAAAAACGAACACCAATTTCCAGTTTGTTAAAGCATATAGTAAACATGAAAATTCAAAAATGCATAAACATATAGTAAGTTGAATCAATCCATTTCCAGTTTGCTAAAGCAGATCGAAGCAAAATATTAATAACTTAACCAAATATTCTATCCAAGTTGAAGGTAATTAATTGAACAAACAACTATCACTCCGATTTGTCTATTTGATAGAATTTTACACTTAATAGAACAAATACAAGGTGAGAGGAGAGGCTGATTTTAGTGCCATAGCCAATCAATTACTTGATTGTTGGTATATCGGCTCTCACATTGATTTATACTAAAGAGCAGAAGCACACATATAAGATACAGAGTAGCATAAACACTAGAATAGCCGTTACAGAAAGTGTAGATTCAATATTTGCTGCAGAAAATTCACATTCTGATTTGAAAAATAATTGACGAAATGTCGAAAAGTGTTTTGCTTGAAATGACGTTGAGATTCATAGTTATCGAATTAAATCTGTTACCTCGTGTAATTGAATTCATGGACTTGGATCATAGATGGAACGGTCATCAATTTGGACGTCGGGAATGTCAGCAATGATGGGCCAGTAGTCTCCTTTTTTCTTCAAACACCGTTTCTCAAGACGTGTGCAGCCTGAAATGTCAAGGCTCAAAAGCTTTTTAAGGTGGTCTTTCATAGGCAACGCCTTAAGCTTTGGACAAAAGTAGATGGATAAATGTTGAAGAGAGGTGAGGCTTTGGAGGCCCTTCGATAGGGTTTCCAGATTCGGCAGATGAGACAAGCTCAACTGAGTTAGAGATGGAGGAAGCACACAGTGTTCTTCGTCAGCATTGTTAGTGAAGGAAACCAGCTCTGGACATCCACCAAATCTGAAGTATGTAAGAGAGATGAGTTTGTGTAGGCCCCACTCCCCCAGGGGCTTTAGTTTCCCGCAATTTTCGATTGTGAGGTCAGACAGATTTGGGGGAATATTCTCTTGGGGAAAGAGTTCCATTAATGAAGCACAATTAGACACCTCCAGGGACGAAAGTAGATCCATCCGATCGGGTAAGGACTTGAGATGTTTACAATCTTTTATACGAAGATCTCCTAAATTTGGTGTGGGCAAGCCTCCATGGGGAAATGACTCTAGACCATCACAAAACTCTATCCATAGACGAGTGAGACTTTGGTAAATGTGGCCAGAGCCTAGTAAATTTGTCAAATTCAAATTCACCCAACTATCCATAATAAACAGATTTCTGAGTGTGGTGCTGCAATCCTGTAGCTTCATCATCACCTTTAATGATGGACATTCAATAATACTCAACTCCTCAAGACAAGATATTTTATTAGGCAACAACTCCAAAGCTCCACACCTGCTTATCGCAAGTCCCCTAAGATGAGGAAGAACATCAATCTCTTGAAGGGATACTACCTTAGGACAACTTTCCACAAGCACTTCTCGTAGGTTGACTAGGTTTCGTACGGTATTATCATTTGGCCATAGAGTCACAAGGTCATCACATTCACCAACCGAAAGACTTTGAAGTGTAAAAGGAAATTGTACAAATGCTTTGATGATTGAAGTTAATCCGAAAATTTTGTTCAATTTTATTTGGGTTAAAGATTCCAAATTCTGCATATGATTTAGCACCACCACATTACACTCTCTAGCTTCTAATTTACGAAGGGATGGCAGTAAGAGTTTT